TTATTTATACAAACGTACAACGGAAGGGTTTCCATTTCTCTTGAGATGCAGAAGAGGATAATGGGTCCCTTGGAAAATGGGGATAATTACTGAAGCTCCACCAGGTGCCACCTGTAATCCTTATGACCGCCCTGCAAAGTCATGTCATCACCCTTAGTTTGCTGATGAAAAACATCGGGCTCAGAGATGAACATTCACTTAGCTAAGGTCACACAGCTGCTGAGTCTTGGGGCTGGGAGGGAAATCCAAGACTGACTCAAAGTCTAATGCTTTTTTCATGGCTGAAAGAGGCCTAGACCCTCACAGTGTCCTACTCAGTTAAAGGTATGGTTTTCCCAGGGGTGCCTTTGCACCCTCCCCATATAGAGAGGTTCAAGGCAAACCCAGAATGCCAACTGCGCCTTGGGCATGGAACCTGCTGGTAGTTTGGTGTGTGTCCCTGAAGAGAAGGTTTTCCCTGCTATGCTGATGATGATAACAATAGCAACAATAATTTCCAAAGTATTAATAACATGCCAGGCAAGATGTCAAGTCCTTTGGGGCACATTATCTCAAGTCCTTATAAGAATACTTTTCCCTAGCTGGGTAGGTTCTCATTTTACAGAGGGGGATCATGCAGGTGCCAGGCTGTGTGTTCTCTAACCGTGGCTCCCATGGACAGGGCAGGGGAGCTGAGCGTCACCAGTCACATACCCCACAGGAGATCCTCACAGCCTCTCCCCCTACTTGAGAAAAATACAGCAAACAAATAAGGCCATACCAGCCCAGAGCCTGGGGAATACAGGGTGAGCCAGGAGTCACTGTGAATAATGCCTCCGTTCAGCAGCAGATGACTGCAGCGTCTGGAAGGCCTCCGCTTACCCTCTTGCCTGAAGCCAAGGTGCTGGGGGTTAAATGGAGAGGTGTCCTCAGAAGGGCCGGAGGGTTCCTAGACTTGGGCTGGCAAAGTGAGCCCTTCAGCCCTCTGTCCCCCCAGGGAGAGGACCACAGTGGCCTTTTTGTCAGGCAAAGTCCTGGCTCCTTCTCAGGCCAAGACGACCTGTTTCCAGGACAGGCCCTCTCTCTACCCCAGGCTGTGGACAGGGGTGTGTGTGGCTCTGACTTAGGGTGATTTGGGGCTGTGCTGACTCGGGTGGCCACTGGGAAAGGGGTGCCCTGCAGGAAAGTCTGTGGGAGGCCTTTCAGGCTGGGAGAAACTGCTGCCAGAAACAGCCCAAGCTTGACTTTGCTCTCTCCCAGCCACACCCGAACACCGATAGGGCTGGGGGTCGGGGGACAGAGGTGAGCTTCCCAGGAAGGCCTTTCCCGGTGTAAACACTTCCAAGGAAAGGAATGTGCTGGGAAGTGAGTGGCTGGGTCATGGAGAAGCCAGCTGGGAGAAATTAATAAAAAAAAAAATCACCCAGGACTCAGAGGGCTTTTTGTGAAACTCAATCAAAGCCTCCACGCTCCCCTTCTGCCAAGGTGGGAGCATCCCACCTGGGCAGGCGAGCCCAGAGGGCCCCGGCGGGCCGGCGGGCGCTGGAGCCTCGAGCGCGGCGCGGCGCGGCGGCTGGGCAGGCCCCGCAGGCGGAAGGGCCCGGAGCCCGGCCGCGAGGTGGGAGCTCGGCCCGGCAGGAGCTCGGCGCCGCACCGCGCACAAAGGCTCCCGCTCGCTCACCAACGAGTCTCGGGTCGCCAGACCTGGGAACTGTATTACAAGCGATTAGACTCCATTTTGTGACAGATTTTTGGACTCTCCCACTGACCCTCCCCCCTTCCGGAGCCTCCTCCAGGAATTCGCCACCTCCTCAGGATAAAAACCCTTTCCAGAGGAGCGACAGACGGCAAGAAGAGAGAGTTACATAATTCTATTTGGCCAAGCCACCAAGGGAAAAAAAAATCGGGGTGTGTGTGTGTGTGATGTCCCTATTTTTAAAAAATATGTTCTTTGCTAGAAGACTGGGAAAGGTGTGACTTTTGTGGAGGCCAAGTTTTCTCCCGGTTTCTGACAGGGTCTTCTGTCGGAAAAGGGATTGAAGCTGATTTTGTTTTTTTGAAAGATCCCCCCAAAACGTGTTTGGAGAAAAAGGAGACTTTTTGAGTTAAGAGTGAAAATGCCCAGAACCAAGGCCCATGTTCCGTTTTGCTCATCTGGACGTACAAGTGGATTTTTATCAAATGCTACTAACTGTGCCCGAACATCAATTAATCACCCCCATGCTGCGTAAAATAACGTTGCACTTCTGGGTGCCCAAGATCTCTGAGAACAAATTGAAAGGAGAAAGAGAGACTCTAAAAATGGCAACTTCTTTTTAAGGACGGAGCCCTGTAGCTCATAGACGGGTGAGGACACAATTTTCAGAAGTTGTGCATGTTTTTTGGGGGGTGTGTGTGTAAATTTCCCAATACCGCTGACACAGAGACTTGACAAAATCAGGAAGGCACGTTTCTGTGCCCACTTGCCTGGATTCTCGTCTGAAAAGCATTTACACACAGATGAAATAAATATGCATCTGTGATTCTCAAAGAGGAAAAGAACTCGTGAATAAAAAATATTTTTATTGTGTGCAAAGTACATTGCTTTCCAGTGAACTTCTGCCTGCTAGCCTCCCTCACTTCACACCAAATGCTACGGTGAGACTCACTAGGTATCTGTCCCCAGGATTGTCTGGGTAACAACCACCCCAACACCCTGCCCCCAGCACGCAGGGTAGGCCGGCTAGAGCAGATAACTAATTGGCATTATTGGAAGAAATAAAGGACAGGGAGAGGAGGAGGGGACTTTAAAGCTAGAGGATAACGTCCCCCCCCCCACCCAACACCAGGCCTTAGCACCAAAGGACCAGGACTCAGGACTCTGGATCTGAGATTCGCTCTGTACCAAAATTCATTCCCAACACACTGGACTGCACTAAAGCCACAGGCTCTTAGTCGACTTTTCTTTTCAAAACAAATATACTTTGGACAAAGCAATCACAAATGTTTAATTGGTGTGCAAAATGATGGGGTTTAGCCACTCTTCTTTAAGGCAATATCCAGCTCAAATTTTGTGACTTTATTCTTTTGTGCCTGAAGAACAACGGGGTATCCTTTTTCCCTTTTAAAGAGAAGCTCCATAAATGATTATAGCAAGGAAAATATGTGTGAGAGGTTGCAAAATCTGTCCAATATATTTTAAAATTTTTGCAAAACTCTACAAATGATCGAGGCCCATTTCTACTGTCCCAGGCTTCCTACCCCACGTGTTGAGTTGTTGAAACCAGTGGCTGAGCTGCGTGGTAAGTGGCACTGCCAGAGCCAGCTGAGCTTGAGCTTGGGGTCAGTCAAGCAGAGCAAGGTCAGAGGTGCAGGATGGAGGGGGCTGGAGATTGGTACACTCTGCAGAGGTGCTCCCCTGGTCAACCCAAAGCCCTCAGCCAAGGCTACCCCAAAGTAGACTATTCTATTTGTGCTGCTCTAAATTACACTGTTGCTGAACTGACTGTTGGCCGCTTCCTGTCCTGGAACTGGAGTCATATCAGTCCAGGGTGCATAGCAAAGCCAACCAACAGTAGGGTGCCTAAAGATGGGGTGCTTCCCACAGAGGGGGAGGCCTCAGCTGTACCCTGGATCCAGCCAAAAAGCTAATCCCCTAAACCAACCCAAATTCCTCCTTAAGAGCTCTCAGCCGAAAGGAGAACAAGGCACGAAAAGTAGTTCCTGCTCAGCTCCCAAACTAGGGGGCACAGCCAGAGTCCTTTATGGTAGAACCCCATGCTCTCTCTAGGGACCTGGCCATCAGTCCCACTATTTTCAGGCCTCAGCCAAAGAGTTGGGCTACTCTACTTCCCACCAGGCCCTGGATTTGGGCACAATTCCTGAGCAGAGCAGGGAGGCTGCACACACCACTAAACACCAGCAGCCCAGACTTTCTCCAGAGGCATGGGCACACAAAGCCCCCACCTAGCCCTAAACCACAGGAGATGCCTATGCTCTCTGCAGCCCCAAAGAAGGGTTTCTGGGTATCACTAAAAAGTTTTCACAGCCACCCACTTGTCTTTGCATGCCCAAAGGGATCCCCACACTCCTCTTTGGGTGGGTGTTGCTCCTCATTGCTTGGTACAATTGCATTGCTAGGCACAAAACCCAGCAGGTCAAAGGAAAAAGCCTGCATCTACTCTTATCTGTCCCCAGGCCCTACCACACAAACCCACAGTTAAAAACAAAAGTCAGCAGGTAGGGCTCAGCCTACATCTCTGGCTCTGAGGTTCGGATTGCCCCAGCACAGAACAGGCCATCCTCCTTCCCAATACACAGTGCAAGGAAGAAGGCCTTCTGGGGAGGGCTGACTGGGTCAGCTGTCCACTCTCACTGCGAGCCCCACATTATAGCTTGCCACTTTTTCAGGTCCTCTTCCTAGACAACTTCTCTGACCAATGAAAGTTTTAAATGCAAAACTCCCGCTTAGAACGGTTTGGGGAAGATGGACACCCTTTTCTTTCCATCAGGGACGAAAAGTGCAGCAAGAGCCTTGATGGAAGAGCCGCCCCTCCCCTCCAGTGCTCAGGATGTTCAGGGCTCAAAACTGCACCTCCCTGCTTCAGGAACCCCAAACCCTCACACACTGGCCCTTGGGGAAACACACCACCAGACCTGGCTCTCTTAAACATTGCTTCCCTTTGGAAATCAATCTTTGATTCCCAACTGAAGCTCTAGTGGGTCCAGGCCTTGTCCCAGGACCCAGACATCAAATCCCCCAGTTCGGGCAGGGCCTTGTCCTGCACCCCAACTCAGCGGCCCAGCGCAGGTTACTGGGACAAGGGATGGCAACCGGGGGCCATCCGGAGGCTCCCAGGACACCATCAATGCCGGCCGGACTGGGCAAGGCCGCCCCAACCCCTAGACGCAAAGCCAGTAGAGCCCTCGGAGCTGCCTGGCCCAACGGCGCGCAGAGCCCGAGGTAAGGCGGGCGCGGGCCCGGCCGGCCGGGCTCGAGTGCCGGGCGGTGGCGGGGAAGGAGGAGGACGAGAGGCGCTTACTGTTGGTAGTCTTGTTTGCAGTACAGTTTCCGATCCCGGAAGTAGCAGCTGGTGGTGAGGGCTTGCTGACACGCCGCGCACTGCAAACACTCCTCGTGCCAGGACGACTCGTTGACTCGCATCAGGAAGCGGTCGGAGATGGGCCGCTGGCAGCCCTCGCAGACGGCAGGATGCGGGCAGTCGGAGCCTGCAGCGCACAGGGCGAGAGCCCGGCCGTCAGCGCCGCCTGGGCCAGCTCCGGCGTCCCAGTCGCTCGGTGCCCGCAGCCCCGGCCCCGAGGGCGGCCCGGGATCGCCGCTCGCTGTCTGCGCTCCTCTGGCCGCCCTGCCAAGGGCCGGGTAGCCCCAACTAGTTCGTCCCAGTGTGAGGGCTCTGGCGCAGAGGCCGCGGGCTCCGAGCCTCGGCTGGACGCTGGGCTCTCCCCTCCTCTGGAGATTCAGCACTCGGTGTTAAGACAAATGAGCGAGCACAGCGCAGGGTGGCCGGCTAGGACCAAGATAGGCGAGGTGAGGCTGGGGCGCTCGCTGGCTGACACGCCCCACGGTGGCATTCGTGGTCTTCTGTCCCCAATCTCCCCAAAACCTGTGGTTTGGGTGGCCCAAGGGGATATATTTCTCTTAGAAGCTCCCTCTCCCCCAGGTGACCTGGCACCTCTCCCAAGCTAGGCAAGGTGACTACTTGAGTCCTCCATCACCCCTGCCGCCTGCCTCCTACACCCGCCCAGAGAGAGTGGCACCTCCCCAACCTAGGCCCAGAAAGAGGATAGTGGTGTTTGGAGCTATCCTGTCCTCTCTCCTCCTGGGTGATGTCCTCACACACCTCTGTCCCCTCAGGATGCCTACTTAGGCAAGCTTCTTGCCCCTCTGGAGATCACCGCAGGAGTCCTGACTCTCTGTCACCCCCCCATGTCCTGCAAACCCATTTTCTTTATCCGTTGGCCCGGACGCTCGTGTCCACCGCGGTACGATGCCCTGACCTTGCCCGTGACCACTTGGGTGCTCCGACCCGCACTCACCCAGCAGCACCCCCAGGGTTGCGGGCCCGGGGCGCAAGGCGTGCTCCTCCATCTTGATGCCGTCCAACATCTTGGCGCAGTCCGTCTGCCCGCGAGGGAAGCACCTCTCCAGCGACTCGGGACCTGTTGCTATATCCATGGGACGTGGGGTGTGCTGCGGTCACCGCCGGCCAGGCTGCTTGCCGGTCTTCCCGCTCGCCGCCGCCTCGGCCCGGGAGCCGGGGAGGCGCGGCCCTCGCGGGGCGGGGGCTGCTGCTGCCCCTGGCGAATGTGAAGCTCAGACGCGCTAGCCCCGGGCCCCGGCGTCGTGCGGGCGGGCCGGGGCAGCTGCAGCCCGCGCCGCGCTCTCCGGGACTCTCGAAGCCACGCGCGCTGCTTCCTCTGTCACCTGCTTGTCAGCCCCGGAGCCCGGCTGCTGCGGCGGCGGCAGACGGAGCC